GTACGAACTTTTTTTTGAATGCATAGTTTAGTGCTTAATAGTTCGAATGCATATCGCCTCAGCTGTGTGCGTGCAGTAGACGAATAAGAAGTCTATTGGAATGATTTGGTGGGATACGATGAATCACATTGAATGCTTTCGTTTTCTCCACTAAATGACCACCATCAACTAACTAAGTGTGACAAAATGGAGCTACGGATTGTCTTTGTGTGTCCTTTGCCAAACCACGATGGCAGATGTTCAGTAGTCACACGTCGGTCAAACTGTCTAGTAACACACCCAACACAATTGTCACTGCAGGTGCATTTGAATTGATAAATAGACACAGATGTGACAAAACCATCTGTCTTATCCTTCGTTTGCGTCCCAATCATTCGTCGACTAGATAACGACAAACATAGGTTTGCTGCGTAAAGATTCTTCGTATACTCCTGGAAAGTCTCTTGAATAAAATCTCACTTGAAAAGTTGTAACGACAGAAGGCAAATGTCAGGCAACAGATCATTTATCAAGGAAATCAACACATATTCATAGATTTTCATGTACATTATTGTAGATTATCGTTAGCAGAAAAACGCGGTCTTCTGATTGGTTGTTTCTCACTAAAAGTTAATCTTTCATCTCTTTGTGGCTGTTTCTTGAATGTCAGACCATCTATCTGCTAATTGTATCTGCCTACGCAAAGTCTGCTTTCAGTCTTTGTTCTAGTTTTCACATTTCTAATTTTTGGGACATAGGCATTGACGTAAATTACTTTCTACCGATTCAGCTAACAGCCAGCTGTCACCACAAGGTCACCATTAAAGTGTAACTTAATAAATTTTCATGTTGTTATGGTCTCAGGTTTTCTCTCCAGTGTTTTCACATGTTTCTTTATGAAATTACTCGGATAGCGCATCTCCGTCAACGAATCATAAATATATATATTCGAATTCCTTTTGTAAGGGGTCTTCCTTACATATCTTTCCTGCTGTGCTCGTAAGACACTTAACAACATTCCTTTTATGCTTAATGGACATGTAACTAATTAAATCTGAAAAATTACATAATGAATGCTGACATTTCCTCAACCAATTGAGTGAACAGATTCCTTCGCTCAAACACTGACATGATCACCTGATCGGACAGTTTCTGATTCATTTATTTGTGGTTTAAATTTCTGAGGTTTTGTAAATATGACGTAACATATATTTTTTTATAATAAACGTTGTCACGATTGAATCTGACGTTTATGTCTATCTTGGTGTGGGGGATCTTTCCAAGTGAATTGGCAGAAGTTAGAATTCAAGGGCCATTGGAGTGGGTCCCAGTGGCTTAATGGTATACGAGCTCGCCTTGTAACCAGAAGGTCCTGGATTCAAATCCGTGGTGCTGAAGAGTCCCGAACTAGGACGAAACAGGTGTCCAGTACTCCCAGGTTTTCCAATAGTTCTCTAACTAATGTCAGCTCATGATGAAAATCCTCTAAACAATCAAATCCCTACAAACGAACACTTGAATCCAAGTGATTAGCTGGTTATAATGTCGTGTCTGGAGACACATTCTAGTCAAGTTATAAGACACCTCACAGATTAGTAACACTTCATTATACCACTGTGCAGTAACAATTCTGAATAATATGAAGGGTAAATTGTACTCGAAACAACATTCAGCCGTAAAATTACAAACAAGCTAGCACGAGAAATTCACGACTACCACTCGCTCATAAAAGACGTTTAAAGAAACCATTCTTCTAAACTCATGACTGTTCCTTAAAATTATGCAAATATTTTACAAGAGATAGCTATTATTCAACCCAAAGCGTATAATCCTTTTGTTCCCAAAACGGGACTTGACATGAACTTGAATTTTTGGAGAAACTTTACCCGTTATATGCTTAACAGAATTTCAATATCTTTGAGAAGAACATTCTTCTCACCAACGCTAAAAGTTGTGTTCTCCAGGAGTTCGTTGGTCTTCAGAAGCATAAAAGAAAAGATCTCGCATCTGAACACTTCCAAGTAATGTGTATATATATCAGTTCACCTGACCTGACCCTGTAGAGCCAGATACATTGGTAGTTCGATGCGTATCCTGCCTAAAACGGGTCGACAACACTATCCTGCATGGTTTCAGAAAGGTATCAGTGACTCTGTAAGAAGTACGATAATCGAACAGTATGTGAACACTGGCCATTCCATTTCAACAAACGCCTCCTCCTCTTTCAAAGCAATCTACAAAGTGAAGAATCACCTGCCAAAGACAGGAAATACGCTTTCGTCTCGTCTGCGCATTACAGAAGCCTTAGCCATCCAGTAAGGGAAACCGAAGCTATGCATACAAATGAACATCATTCAACCACCTTGTTGATTTCGACTAACTTGATTTTTGTTTGTTTGGTTTTCTAACTCCTTATAATTCTTACTTACTTCCACATTTTCCTTCCTGTCTATGCACATTCCGATTAAAATGCACTCATTGTGCATCAGTTAATATTGACTGTAACGACAGAAGACAAGGGCCAAGCAACATATCGTTTATTGAGAAAATCAATAGATATTTATAAATTTTTATATACATTAGTATTCGTTATTGTTAGCAGAGAGATAGCGTCTTCTGATTGGTTGTTTTTCCTGCTGAAGGTTATTATTCTATCATGTGTTTGTTACCATTTCTTAGACAGTCCGTTCATATAGCTGCTAATTGTATCCACCCACGCTTTTTTGACAACTCATCACCGCTATCCTCCTACTATTATCCTTCATCATCATTCTAGTTACAATTTGACTATTCGTAACAGTTTTGTGAAATATTTTTTTATAACGTTAACAGTAAGCCGAAGTAATTTTTATTTTTCTCTGACACCTTTTGTAAACACACAGACACACACACCTACGGAAAAATAATTCGGTATATAAGTGCGATTGTATAGATAAGTGATGGAATTCACCACCGAAAACTGACTCTTCGTTGAATTACGTGTTTTGTTTTCATTAATGTCTGGGAATGGGGAATTATTCATGAAATTTATTATTATTATTATATCCTTTCATTCCTAGAGGAACATAGGGCTTCAGCTGCGCGTCTTCATCGCCTTCGGTTCTCTGCCAACTTTTTCACCCCGCTCCAAGTCTGCCCACATGCTTTCATCTCCTCTTCACATCACCTCCTCCAAGTCACCCTCACCCTTGCACTGACGACCAACTCGCCGCTTCCCTTCCAATCGGGTTCCACTCGAGCGATGGCTTGTCTAGTGATGTCACTTGATGGTTTGTTTCCTCAGAGTATGGCCAGCCAATCCATCTCCATTTCTTCCTGCCTATTTGTCTCACAATCCGTTCCTCCTGAATTGGTTCGCTCATCGCCGGAGATCCCTATTGTTGATTTCTTCTGGTTGGCCATCTGATCTTGAGTATTGAGTGAAGACAACTGTTAATGAAGGTCTGTAGTTTGTTTGAGATGCTCTTTATGACGCGCAGTGCAAGTCTCTGATCCGTATAGTAGCATTGACCGACTTCACATTGGAGTTGAAAATCCGGGTCTTATTTTCAATTTCATGCTGAGTGCTGTCGACCTCCACACAAACTTAAGAGTAATGAAAGCCTGTCTTGCTTTCCCGATCATCCCCGCTTTGATATCCTCGTCAGTTCCGTCGGCCTGTAGTTGAAACGAAGCTTCCCAGGTAGATAGATGAAGGAGACTGTTTCTTTCAGGTTCCTCCCATTTATGCTGGCTGATTGTTGTCTGTTGTTGCTGTTGTTGTTGGCCAGGAATCTTCATCACCTCTGTTTTATCTGTGTTCACCTGAATGATGTCCTATCTTTGATGCTTCTTCTATGGCCAGCTTGTTGCTTTTCACTTGCATATCTTCCAGTTTGTGGAAAATCAGACATATATATGTCAACGGCGAAGTCCAGATCCTCCAAGTTCTTTGTATAGTATAGTATAATACTTATCTATTGTTTGTTCATAGAATGCACGAACTTAGATTCAAGATCTATCACATTTCCGACACCTTACTGAATTGACTTACGTTTAACCTTTATGGTTTAGTTTGTAAGGGTTAGTTATGTTTTTACGAGTTGGTCACGGACTGATATTAGCTGAGAGTACTGGACAGCTGCTGTTTCATCCTAGTTTGGGAATCATCGGGAGTACGCACCGACTGGGATTCGAACCCGGGACGTTCCGGTTACAAGGGGAGCTCGTATACCATTCAGCCACTGGGACCCGATCCAATGGCCAGCGCATGAATTCTAACTTCTACCAACTCGTGATTTAGCGCGACCTTGATATCAATCCGTGATCAACTCGTAAAAATATAACTAACCCTTAACTGACATCAATGCTAAAATGGTTTATTTTCTCCGGTTCTATTTAATTCTTTGTTAATTAATAAGACAATCTACTTTTCACAGTCTGTCTACCTTTTGACCTATTTTAATCGTAACTGATTGTCGGGTTACAAGTATTATTGAAACGTCTATAATAGTATAAATTGATCATTATTTAGTTTACGAATCAACTATCTGATAATTAATCGATATGCTGACCTTTCTTTTAAATACTTATCCATTGAAAGTTTCAACTAATCACTGAATTTCAATATGGATTACCGAAAATTTCAAAAAAAAACACTTCCATCTTCCGTTGCTCTGATGGAAAAAGTGGTACAACAACTAATTGTGTCACTAAAAAGACTTAAAGAACAAAGCAGCATCATAGAAGGTTTATATGAATCTCTAAAGCCTACTGACACGGTTACATTAAGATTATATGGACTATCAAAAGTGCATAAAATTGATTTGCCATGTGTATTCAACACACTCTCCTAATTATCTTCTTTGATGTTAGATAGTTGGAGGTAGACAGCGGGGAGCCACTGAACCTAAATTTCCTGCCTTTTGGAACTCGTCAGCAACAAATACCTGCTATCTTGAAAGAAATGATGTCGCCTCTGAGATGCAAACCTATTTTACCCAATATTTTTGTCAGGGACGTGTTTTTAGTGAGCTTTCCGGCCTCAGGACTAACTGACCAACCAATAAACAAATCACGTTCAAGTTAGTTATAAATATCTTTAAACCCTAAGCGAAAATCTGTCGCTTATAGATGAATATACGAAACCCGACTTTATAAATGAGTGGTTTGGGGGAGAGGAATTTTCTTCGATGTCAGCCAAGCTAATGTGTTTGAAAAATAAGACAGTTTAAACAACTAGAAAATATATACCACAATACGAGTTTCTGTAAGTTAAATGATTTATAGATAATTTTTTTAAAAATGAATCGTTTTAAATTGTGTGTTGCATTTAAATTAGTAAATTAAAACAAGCACAAAAGTTAACTGATGGACACTAAATAATCCATTGCTAATTTGTTTTTTGTTTTATTTTATACAGTTCTTGTCTCCGGTTTCTTGTCCTTGTATTGATTGAAATAGATTAACATTTTCTTGATTTCTGCAATAGCCAAACCAGGATTTAATCCCTACAACAACAACAACAACAAAAGGAAAGATAAAGAAAATACAAACGTCATTATCCCCAGTGAGATTTAAACCCGCCTCACTCTCAGTGAGGAAGTTAGAGACGTACTGACGTACTACTCAACTCCAGTCCACATATATCGGTTGTACAATGGTAGAATGTTCGCTGGCAGTCAGTCATGCAGGAGGTACAGATCCGATTCTCGCCAACGTAGTCACTTCTAAACTTCGCCTAGTCAGTTGTAAGCCTGAAATATGGTGAGAAGGTTAGACCGACATATAAGGCTATAAAACCTCGAATATGCTTAATTCGATGATGTCATGTGTTACAATGTGAAAATTAGAATGGAGCGCATAAAAGCTTTGTGAATTCAACAACTACTATAGATGGATTGATTTAGGCCACAATAGAGTACCAGCAAGTTCAGAATAAAGCAGCTCAACTGAAATTAATCAAAGTTCTCATTCAAAAGCTGTCCATTCAAGTTCCCCTAATATCTCATTCAGAAAAATATGAAAGCATCTCAAATTCTATCAGTGAGTTCAACTACGATCCAATATCTATCTGATCTGGTATTTGATGTATGGTTTAATTGTTATGAAGGCGTTTTTCGTATTGAATGTGTCATGTTTGATGATGCAACCAAAATCCGATTGTTATTCCGAAAACTTGGTACTGTCGAGCACAATAAATATGCTAATTTCATTCTGTCAAAGAATCCAGGTGAATTATCTTTCGATGAGACGGTCACCGTTTTGTCTCAAATTTTGGGTGAACCGTGATCCATGTTTAATTTTCGGTATCATTATTTACAGTTAACAAAAATACCTTCCGATGATTATGTCACTTATGCTGGCAAAATGAACAAAGAATGTGAAACGTTCAAACCACACGAAATGAGATCAGATAAGTTCAGTTGTTTGATTCTCATTTGTGATTTGAAGAGCCCAGAAGATACTGACATTCGAACTCGACTTTTGTCACTTGTGCAACAAAACCCGAAAATGACTTTACGAATGATGACAGCAGAATGCCAATGTTTAATCAACTTGATACATGACACCGCTGTGATGGAGTGCAAACCACAGCCGTCTAAATTTAGCTCAAATAATGAAGTTAAAATGCCCCCGATCACCGTTAAGTATATAGTATATCAGTCCCAAAATTCAGCTAGACCTCCGTGATATGTATCCACATATATATATATATATATATATATATATATATATATATATGTGTATGGTGGTCTCTCTTTCTGTTTGCTCGCTTAGTCTGTGACCATTTCACTTTGATGAACCTGTCTCCTTTAACAATGTATATTCTCCTTATATTATATATAATATGAGTGTTTGTTGACAGTCCGTAGCTTGGTGGCATATATCCATATTATATGTGTGTTGACATGTCTGCTATATTTTGCTATGTATGTATGGATCGATACTCCATTATAATTAGCCATTCATGTTAAGACTGTCTATTGATTTGTTCACACACTTGTCTGGACATTCATATATATTTCGCTCTCACAATCTTGTGTGACACTTTGGTGTGATACCACTTATTGCGTCTCCTTGTGTTTGGAAAATAGAAGTATCATCGCAAACCTAGTGGTCTTCTGATTTCCGCCTTCTTGCGTCAGGACTATTAAATTCTCGACCAGTACATAATAATAATTTGGCGACGAGTATATAACACTCCGTCAGTGTGCTGGTACTGTGGTTCCCGGCATTTTGTCAAATTTTGTTCATTCAAGAAACATAAACACCGCAACTGTCACCGTTTTGGACATAAAGAGGGTTACGATCCACCACAGAAAAACTCTTCGTTGGGATCAAACATAGTTTTTTCAAGCCGAAATAACCCTTTCCGCGTACAGACCATTTTTGCAACGCCCAAAGTCGATCTATTAACAGCAAACCTATTCGTCTTCAGTTGCATACGGCATCAGATATCACCCTAATTTCCCGAAACACGTGGTATACACTTGGATGCGCACAGACTCTTCCGACAGAGCATATTGCTAACAACGCTTCTGGAGATATACTGAAATTCATGGGTGAAATCAACTGCCATATTTAGTTTGGTGAAAAATAACACAGTATAACACAAAAAATGGGCACTTCATAAAAAATGGATGATATAATTCTATTTAATGCAGCAGTACAACATCTCAATGTTGGCTAGTTATACGCGCATACAAAAATTTCCAAAACATTTCTAATGAAGATATCGACTTTCACTTATTTCATAGACAAATTTAAAAAAACTTGGATAGTGATATCTTAGAAGGCAGAGATTATCAGAGAACGTGATGTGATGTATTTGCGCCACATATACATTTCGAACAATCATATGACCCCTCACACATTTAGTTGTCAAGTCACATTATATGAAAATAATAAAGGCCAATCGAAGTACACAAATTCTGTATGTCTGTCTGTTTACGACATAGAACTTTGCACATATGTACGGCAGTTCAAGTCGTCACACTCCATGTAGCACACACAGCAAGAGAAGAAAGTAGAAGAAATGCCTGATAGAGACAGTAAAGGAAGGTATGAGACCATCAAGGGCGCCTTACTGAAATACACTGAGGCGATAGCTATTCGTAGATGTAAGCTTTCCCTCTGCCTGTGTGTACAGAAACAATTCGCTATTACTCTTAACCTACTACTATCTTGGTAATTCTGATTATCTGATTGGATAATCAAATGTTGTGTTAATTATTCTTAAATTGTTTTCGTCACTTTGTGTACTTTAATTGGCCTTTATTATTTTTTAATATATAAATTGACTTGACAAGTAAATGTGTGAGGGATAAGATTGTTGTTCGAAATGTGTATAAGTGGCGCAAATACATCACATCACGTTTTCAGATAATCGATGTCTTCTAAAATAATTGTCCGAATTTATTGAAAAAAATAAAAAGACTAAATGTTTTAAATTACAGAACACTTATGAATAAATACAATTGTCATTTGATAAATGAATGTTTGAAATGAATTTTTCTTTAATTTATCTATTGCTGTTGATGAAAGATCACCGGAACATTATTGAAACATAAGCAGTTGAGATATCTTGATAGCATTGCTCATCACTAGTAGGTTGAAAACACTGTAAACCATGTTGAATATCATATCTTCAAAAATCAAAACCGTTTCAGATCTTCCACTCTTAATGGCCATGTCTGGCTCGCTGCTAGCCAAAAAGTAGAACAGAGCGAACTGCTGATGTGCAGTACACACACCCTCTACTAAGCCAGAGATGGCAAGTTCCGAACCAGTCTTCTGTATCCATGCCGAGGTTTCGTCAGCGATCAATCCACTGGGGCTAGCTGATGCAACTTTCCAAATAAGTGAAGTGATCAACACGCTGTACCACTTCACACTCCTGACTATCTTTAACACAAGAGTCGATGTAGTCCAGTCCTGTAGCCTCATCGTCGTACATTTAATAGAAGCAAACCACAAGCCAAATATTCGAAAATTGTTGCTCAAGGTCTTCACAAGACCCTGTTCTATTTTGTCAGCATTTTCAACTAGAGGACAATGTCATCCGCATATTCTAGTTCAACGAAATTATCCCCTGGTAACAAGTTAATCCCCGAGTCCCTGAAGTCAGTTACAGTTAAGTCCATTAGTACATTTATGATGAAATGGTGATAATCGACAGGGCATCCCTGACGGAGAGCACTTGTTTTTATCACAGCTGTCAGATGACAACTCTTCGTAGGCTCTTATCTAGCTGACTGGATGAGTTCGAGCAGAGTGCCTTTATCAGTGAGATGGATTTTCTCGGCATTCGCTTAACGGGGCCAAACGGCATGACCACTGGTGGTAATAGTCATCAGTTAACCTTTAAAATATGTGATACACTCCTACTTGTAAAGATGTAGCTCATTCACCTGATCAGTAGATTTATATATATGAAGGAAACAATGTAGGTTAGATACTAGCATTTATAGGAAACCAATATGCACACTCTAATAAATACTTAGACTTTAATTCATCCCATTCATAATCGGTAAAGATAGGTTTAATTAAATGCCTATATAATCTACATATCCAAAGCCTCAGGATGGTCGGGGGTGGGTGCCTTGCGCTGCGGGTCGGCCACCCCTCCGCACACCTCTTGAAATGCTCCCATATGACCGGGCGTCTTACATAGCCTCTCCTGAGGAAGTCCTACTCACTGCCTTCACGTGGCGGAGGTGTTTCTCACCAAAGTGAGAGGGCGAAAGCGGATGCCTGGCGCTCTCCACCGGGTTGACTGTCCATTGGATGACAGTCTAGGGGAGATGGCTAAACCCTGATTCCAAACCTGCAACGACTGGCGTATGAAGCTCACTGGAGCTCACCGGCAGACGTATGGACAAAGGGCTTGTTGGATGTCCTGGATGTCTGGCCCCATTCAAAAAGGCGTATGAACCGAACTCCGGTCATCGGCTGCCAATGGATAGTGGACTCCTTACTCCACTCCTACTGCCTTGTAGGTCACACTTGGTTGTGTAAAGGCTAGAGCTGCACTCTCAAACAAAAGGCCGAGCGATTCTGGGGACATCACTCGTACCAAATTCCCATGAAACTTCATGAACTCTCTTACAAATGGCCGCGCCTGGGCAGCGATGATTCGAGACGTTCTTGAAGCCGGCTCATCCTCCCGTAGGAGATAGCCGAAGTAAAGTAAAGTAAATAATCAGGTTAAGAGTCTAACTAGTAAGCCTGAAGAATTAAATAATTAAATCAAACAAATAAAGGAAGTCAATTATTGGTTTGTAGGGATTTGGTTGATTGGTTACTGGATTTCATCATGAGCTGACATTAGTTAGAGAACCATTGGAAAACCATCTGGGAGTACTGGACAGCTGTTTCATCCTAGTTTGGGACTCTTCAGCAGTACGAACTCACCTCCAAGGTTCGAACACAGGACCTTCTGGTTACAAGGCGAGCTCGTATACCATTAAGCCACTGGGACCCGATCCAATGGCCCATAAATTCTAACTTCTGCCAATTCACAATATAGGTCTTCAACCAGACAGTCTGGATTTCCCTATACATCAGATATCAAGGCAGATTAATGTTTTAATTCAGTCATTTTGTTGGTTCAATGTATAGATTAATAATTGTCCACGTGAAGACAAATGGTGGTTCGCTGTGTGTAATACTTTCATCTATCTCAATTTCGTGACCAGTAGGGTGCAGCAGGTCGGGTGTGAGGACAAATACTCGCCAAAGACATTGGCTAGCGGTTGCGCTATGTCGTAAATTGGCAGAAGTTAGAATTCAAGAACCAATGGATCAGGTCTCAGTGGCTCAATGGTCTACGAGCTCGCCTTGTAACCTGAAGTTTCTGGGTTCGAACCCGTGGGTGCGTACTGCTGAGGAGTCCCAAACTAGGACGAAACAGCTGTCCAGTACTCCCCGGTGGTTTTCCAATGGTTCTCTAACTAATGTCAGTTCATGATGAAATCCTGAGATCCAATTAAGAAAAATAATAATATAATTTACTAAATACCATATAATGCTGACTGTTAGTGAGGTCAGTTAGATAGGTCAGTCAAACTAGTAGATCGGGGTCAACTAGATTATCGGAACATAGAAATTTAGCTAGATCTAGAACAATTGACTGATAAGTTAAATAACTTAGGAAAAAGCTCAGCCATTGCATTGCATTGCATTCACTTGCATGAAATTACACACCATAGGGTGGGTGGACAGTATTAAAAAGTAATGTAGTTAGTTGAAGAGAGACGTTAATCACTGAAGCTTTGTTTATTGATTAAACACTGCACACGTGCAATCAGAATGGCACAAAGCCTATACCGGAGATATGGAAAGTAGCAACAAACAACAAGGGGAAGATGGAAAGAGAGAAAGAGAAAAATAAAAACATCAAGATATATAAGACAAATTGTGAAGCCGTATAAATAAATCGATATGATTATGAGCAGGTATAATTTGTGCTCGAAACCTTGTCATTCAGTTATTATTGATAATGCATCATCACTGTGTGTGATGGTATTTAAAATAAACTTGTCTAATATGGTAAACACTTACATTTTTACTACATAAAACACATTACTACTTACTTTTGGACAAGTTTCCGTACAATTCATTATAGTATGACAACGATATAATGACCATTTATTCTGAAATTCTGCTAAACGTTCATACGTGTAATCGTCACGTGAATCAATCAACCATCTGTGTAAAAATAAAGAAAAGGTAAACTTTTTTATTGGAACAAAACAAATGCAGTGTAATGCACAATCAATAATGGTTTTATATGGTGTCAAGAAATCATTAAAATAAACACCATGTTAGAATATTTGGAGGCAATAAGAGGTCTCAGGAAGTCTTATCTGACCTATGGGTTTTGTGCTTGCCGACACACACCAGTCAGTCAGTCAACAAAGAAGGAGTGTTCGCAATCACCTTGAAGGGACAACTCATATCTCCGTCTTAGATGAAATTCAAATGCCCCGTATTTATTGAATTGAATTTTTGATTTTCCCGTCGATTGATTGGACCGAAGTGCTCGGTCTAGTGGATAACGCTTTGGCGTTTGAAACTATGGGCACTGGGTTCGAGCCTCAGTGGGAACATCATCACTCACTGAGAAATGCAGGTACATCCAGCTGACGAGTCCCAAATAGAACGAAATGCGCATCCTGGATTCCACTGCTAGCTACCATCCACCCCCGTATTTAGCTTAGAGTTTTGCAATTCATAGTGTTCTCTGAGCTGGTTGGTTTAGTTGCGGAGCTTTCGTCGTCTTTCTGGACAACATCTTCAGCGCAGTACTTAGGATAAAGTGAAATGATTTTAAATTTCTTCATGAGTGATATAATTGTGTCTCCCGGTAACCATCTTTACATATTTATTGACCGTTTTCTATTGATTTGGATTTTAAACTTTCTGGTCACTTGATTTACTTTTTATTAGTTGGTATATTTCGTCTATATTTACGTGTTTATTAATTGCATTTTCGTTTGAGTACCACGCTTGTAGGAATTCCCTGGCACTTTTGGTGTTTCCTCTGACTAAGATTTTGATATTATCCCAATCAAACTGATGTCCATAATTGTCTGTATGCATTGATACTAAAGAATTTATATCATATCTTTTCACGGCTGACTTGTGTCCTTGGATTCTTATTCGAAAGGGACGCCCACTTTGGCCGATATAATGCTTGTTACAGATCATACACTTTATTTTGTAAATGGTATTAATTTTATCTCCTTTTTCTGTTGGATCTTTCGGTTTGCATAAGATCGAATTAAGCGATTCGACTGGTTTGTGTGCGTCGGTGGCACAGTGGTTAGGATTCTCGCCGACCATGCACATGGTCCGGGGTTCGAGCCCACGCCGGCGCACACCTGATATCTATGGTCGGCCTGCAAAATTTGGGCTACCGATATCCATGCTGAAAATCCCATACTTGTACCAAAAATACAGTGTGGAATCAAGCTGTAAATCAAAAATAAAAAAAAAATCTATATCAAAACGGTTTCATTATTCTAGCCGTTATTTCAGAGATATTTCTGATGTATAGTAGGATGAATTTCTTTTTGGTCTTTGGTGATGGTTCTTTGTTAGTGTTTTGATTCAACTTTAAACACTTTTTGATGAAATTTTGTAGAGTCTACTTTATGAGGATATCACTTCATGAACCCAAGCTACTGCCACCTGTTGCAAAAGTAAACATAATTGGAGAGTGGGAGAGAATCCTGAAGATAGTGAACTGCTACTGACTCATATTGTTGACTGGTGGTAGTTCTTGATATCCCACAATCCCTTCACCCTCTTAAACAAGATCTTATCAAATAAAAGCTTAAGGAATGATGGGAAATGATATTGTCAGTCTTGTTGAAATATGGAAAAGATCAAAACAAAAATCGGTGATTACCCCCCACCACCACCACCAACCACTTAATACTTACCTATATGCTTGAAGTAGGACAGCAGGACCTAAATACTTATCACCATTCCACCAATATGATGGACAAGATGTTGAACAACATGCACACAGGATACATTCATATAATCCATCCAATTTAGCTCTATCCTCGACTGACTGATAATACGTTTTCTTGCCCATATCTTCTTCAGTAACATTTTTCTTCTTTAAATATGGTTCAATAAAACGATATTGTGCATAGAAATTATTCATATCTGGTATTAGATCTTTAATCACATACATATGAGGCAATGGATAGATTTTAGTTGTTTTACTAACATCTTTATCGATTTCCCTGTAAGTGAATAAAACACACAAAAAGAAAAAGAAGCAATGGAGAAAGGGAGAAACAAATGTTAGAACTGATCACGAACTGACTTCAATTAGAAAATCACTGTTAAAAACCACCAGGAGAAAGTACTAGACGGTTGCTTCGTACTTTAGAACTCTTCAGTAATATGCACCCATGACTTCAGGTTACAAGGTCAGTTTGTAGATCATTCACACAAGCCCCTGAGATTGAATCCAATGCATGGAACAGCTGTCTAGTACTCCTTGGTTTTCAGTGGTTTCTCTTTAACTGAAGTCACTTCGTCATCAATCCCGAAATCAATCAGATTCCAGAAAACAAGCACTTGACAAATAAATATGCCAGTTATGCTGTTAAAAGTAAATTATTATTATTATTGTTTCCTTGGGTTCCTAATGGAACATAGGGCTTCAGCTGCACGTCTCCACTTGCCACTTCTGTCTTCCTTCTGCTGTACTTTTCACCTGCATCCATGTTAGTCCATACTGTTTCAACTCCTCTTCACACGATCTCCTCCATGTCACCCTTGCACTCACAACCCACTCGCCGCTTCCCTTTCGGCCTGGTTCCACTCGAGGAATGGCCTGACGCGCGATGTCACCCAGCGGCCTCCTCAGCGAGAGAGTATCCAATCCATCACCACTTTCTCCTGCATATTTGTTGGGCGATTGGTTCTTGTTTTGTTTGTTTGTTCCCATAGTTTCTTGTTGGTGATTCTTTCCGGCCCGGCCATCTGATCTTCAGTATAGAGCGAAGACAGTTTTTGATGAAGGTCTGCAATCCGTATAGAAGAACTGACTTGATGTTTGTATTGAAAATCCGACTGAATTTTGTTGTTGATGCTGGCTGAGTGATGAAGATTTCCAGATTGATTTTAGGTTGATGAATGTGTTTCTCGCCTTCCTGATTATCGATTTGACATCCCCGTCCGTTCCTCCTGTAGTTGAGACAATTACAACATGTATAAATATATGATTATTAAATGAGAGTGAAAACAATAACCAACAGCGGTGCGTTGATGGTTCAGCGGTAGAACGCTAGCCAACTACGCCTGATGTGGATTAAGGTTCGATCCCCGGCCGATGCGGAATCTCTAAACCTCGGCAAGTCCGTAGTAAAGTTGATATAGGGGGAAGATTGGGAGAGAGTTAGGCTAACAAAATCCACACGCTGTGAAAATAAACACCACTAGTAATGAAACTCCATTGCTCCAGCTTGAAGCCCTATGATGTCCTACTTGGAACGTGAAAGAATTTTTTTTAAATAACCCACAATAACAAAAATAACTAGTCCATAAATTTACCAGATACAAGCAAGATGATTACGACCACCAATATTCATTGCACATGAACCGCATATACCTTCACGACAAGAACGTCGAAATGTCAGCGTTGGATCCTGTTCATTTTTTATCTTGATTAAAGCATCTAAGACCATAGGACCACAATCATTAAGATCAACTTGATAATTTTGCATAGTTGGCTTTTCACCAGGTTTATCTGGATTCTATTTCGATAACAAAAAAAATATGCGAAATAAAAAATCAATATGAATTAAAACGATTTCAAATTAATTCCCCAATCAACATCAGCTAGAGAAAGCTGTTTCGTCCTGGCCCCAGATTCTTCACCAGTATATTTTATTTTTATTTTTATTACAGCTTGATTCCACACCCTATTTTTTGTACAGGTGTTACGTATCACGGGTAGATCGAAGTGTACGGTCATTGTTGGCAGCTGCGAGGTGACGCTTCCTTTCATTGTTGTACCCGAACTACAGCGAACGATACTAGGAGCGGATTTTCTGCGAGAGATTGGTGCGATAATCGACACGCAAGCGAACGTTGTGATCTGTTGCCTGACTCTTGTCTTTTGTCGTTACACAGGTATGGAATTTTCAACATGTGATATCAGTAGCCCAAATTTCGCAGGCCAACTATAAATATCAGGTGTGATGAAGGATGATGAAAGATCGAACCCAGGATCTTCAGATCACAAGGCGAACTCACTGACTATTTAGCCTCTGAGACGGTAACTAACAGCCCACAAATCCTAGCTTTTGCCAAATCACAGTATAAAAATTTACTTCACTATTCCTTAGTACATACAGCACTATTAGTAGATTTGGATATGACTGAAACCAACCAACGTATAAACCCTACCTCTAGTAATTTGCACATCTTAGGTTTCTGCTAGAGCACCTGTTGAGTGATATCACTCGACAGTCCTCGCAGAATATGCCCAATCTATCTCTTTTTCCTTTTACATATTTATTGGGCGATAGGCTCTTGGCTAATTTGCTACCTGCTAGCGTTACTTGTTGCCTATCCTCCTCTTTACCCAGTCATCTGACCTACAGTATCAAGCGAAGGCAGGTGAAAGTCCGCAGACTGTTAGAAGTGTTTTTTTTGTTGGTGAGTTAAGTCTATGAACCACATAGAATCACTGACATTGCATTAGTGTTGAAAATCTGGATCTTATTTCTTTATGCTGAGAATGGTAGATAGTCAAACTAATTTCAGAGGAATACAGATCTGTCTTGTTGTTTTTCTTTTTTCAATCCTAACTTTGATGTCCTTATCCGCATTACCATATCGTTAACCTTATGATATCGTATTTATACAGTTTGAACTTTTTACGTCAGTCACTTTAAACCACTAAAAGCGAAAATCAAGTATAATTTTTATGTAACACTGTAAATAAATGAACATATTACCCAAAAAAACACGCAACAAAGTAAATTAGACGTCACTGCAGCCTACATATTTTTGTACAAGAAATACGCCAATTAAAAAAGCTTAAGTAGAGTTTAGGGTAGAAGACGAAAGACTTGGTAAAAGTATGTTCGTTTAGAATTTGGTATCTCTATGTAGCTAAATTATGTACATCTTATCTTCAAATCACCATTTGTGGTACTTCTGTTGTTTATATTGCGTTTTTCTTTGCGTTCCTTGCACATCTCCAATGTATCTCAACAACACTGTATCATGCACTTTTTCTGACATCAAATCTACTTCCCTACTACTCGGTGTATTTATGTCGATAAACATCTCTTATCAGTAACACACACCATATAATGACTGAATCAATGTTTATATGAATCAATGCATTAACGCTACAACAAAGAAAATACCGTTTGAGAAGTCAAAATACAAATAAGTGGATATTTTCGTTGCGAGCTAAACAGCCAAGTCACTGAATTATATATATATATATATATACCAGTAGGGTACAGCAGGTCGAAGATGAAGCAGTAACTCATCGAAGAAGACATTGCGAAGTGGTCACGCTATGTGGTGAATTGGCAGAAGTTAGAATTCAAGATCCAATGGATCGGGTCTCAGTGGCTCAATGGTCTACGAGCTCGCCTTGTAACCTGAAGTTTCTGGGTTCGAACCCCGGTGGGTGCGTACTACTGAGGAGTCCCAAACTAGGACGAAACAGTTGTCCAGTACTCCCAGGTTTTCCAATGGTTCTCTAACCGATGTCAGCTCATGATTAAATCCTCCATGAATTATATGTTTAACCTCCAACGCTTTTCACTGCATCACTACTACACATGGATAAGCAGCTTAATCAGACATTCAGGTTATACATCAAATTAATACAGTGTCCATATTCTAAATATACAAAAACAACCCGACATATAAAGAATACTTACCCATCTGTAAATAGAGAACGTTTTTAGTCGTGGAGCTGACTCCGCAGCAGTTGAGGCACAACGAATCTGAAATTTCAAAAGCAAGCATACACTAATTTGTAACTTATCTGAGAGGAACAGTACATCAATATCCATCGATAAATGTAAAACAACTATTCGTCATGTACATCGCAGTAAAACCTGGATCTGCTGTCGTTTTGCTGTACGAAATATTTCCAGCAACTACAATAATGAAAGTTGCTTTATAACGCACATATATGATAGTTAAAATGCATAAGTTGTTAACTTATTCAGTGGATAAATGCCACAATATTCCCGCGGCAATGACGGTCTTCAGCTCTATCTAGTGCAGTATCATAGGTACACACCACTAAAGTATCTCAAAGCAGAATTATATAAGCTATCTAGTGATCCTAAGCTTCTGACAACTTGAGGGAAATCTACCTTGAACTTAATCAAATAACCAGAAACCCTATAACTTCATAATATCTTTGTCAAGTATTGGACTGCTAGGGAGATTACGACTCAAGAATACTGACTGAGAATTAGTCTACATATCAATTCAAATATGATAAACATCAGCATATTATGCTATTTAACCGTTTACATCTAAGTATTCAGAGTGAAGTTTAGTCCTCGGACCAATTGAGGAAACCTGAAAGCTTAAGTAGAAGTCATGTCCTAGACTTTGGATAGTCATACACAATACACCACACTACATGGAGATTTTTAAGACTGATATTCACTACCGGGGAATAATCTCGTTGACTTGGAATATGCAGACGATATAGTCCTTCTAGGCGAAGACGCTGACGAAATGCAGAGTCTTCTAAACACCTTGAGCCGCAATCCACGAATGTTTGGCATGCGATTCGCTCCTGCCAAATGCAAGATGATGTTACAGGACTGGACTACATCGACGCCTAGTTTAAAAATAGGAAGTGAAGTGGTAGAGCACGTTGACCGATTCACTTATTTGGGAAGTACCATGAGCCAGTGCCAACGGGTTGATCTCTGACGAAATCTCAGCACGAATACAAGGGGCTCGTTTCGCATTTGCCAGTTTACGCCGACTCTGGCGTAGACGAGATGTTCGACTATCGACCAAAGGGCGGGTGTACTGCTGATCAGTCCGCTCCGTCCTCCTTTATGGTTGTGAGACCTGGCCACTGAGAGTGGAAGACATGAAAAGACTAGCTGTCTTTGATCATAGGTGCCTGCGTTCTATTTCCCGTGTAAAGTGGCATAATAAGGTGAGCAACATGGAGGTTAGGCGTAGAGTTCTAGGTAAGCAGGGGAAATCAATCGACGAAGTCGTGAAGCTACAAAGACTGAGATGGTTAGGACATGTGTTACGTACGCCAAGCCATCGCCTCCCTCGACGAGCAATGTTAGCGGATATAGGGTCAGGTTGGAAAAAAGCTAGCGGCGGTCAAACGAAAACTTGGCATCAGTCAATGAAATCCACAACAGTTGGTCTAAGCCACGTAGAAAGGTGTAGACTTCCAGGCTGGGGTCCTCGGGACGGTAAAAATCTATGGTTGGAAACAATTGGTGACATGGCTCAAAACCGTTCTCAGTGGCTGGTGCAGATGCATCCACTCCCTGTGACTTATGATCTTCAATGAAACTGTTTTGTATCTCTTTATTACTCCTTTGTCTCACACCTCTGCTCACTGTTTCTATTATGCTTTTCTTGTACTTTCTTCTCTTGCTTAGCGTGCTACACGGAATGTGGCGACTTGAACTTCCGCACATTTGTGCAAAGTTCTATGTCGAAAACAGACAGACAGATATTCACACCCCGACCGACAGTTGCTACATTGAAGTGGTGGTGGGGCTTGTATATCGTAATGATAGCGATTAGACTGAAAGCAGTTACCGCCATAGTGTGACCTTTTTTACACTATATTGGAACCCCGTGGGCAAAGTCGTACTACTGGAGAATAGGGATACAGCAGCAGTAAGTTGTTCCCCTCGGATGCCAGCATGCCAGCTACGTTGTTTCTTCAATCTGGAGAGAAGGGGTTAGAAAAGGTCGACCTAATAAACTGCACATCCCGACTTACCCTAAGGTGGTCCATAGCCGGCGCTAAATTACTAATAAGGAGACATCTCTAAAACCAGTTCTACTACGTTGTGTCACCGGCCTCAATTTGTCCCCTGGACTTTGTGGTTACGCAAAAGTAATTCTCTTTTTGTTTCGGGTACCTCAGGAAAAAATCTACTTCCACAGTGTGGGCAGCGGGGAAGTCACAACCACCTACATACTTTGAAAAGCACACGAAAGTCTCCCTATCATCAACCACCTTCATCATCTTTTCTGCTGACACCTCAACACAGATACAAATGGCGTGTGTGGCGTTTGTCAACTGCCATCATCTCTGGAGTAGAGGTGATACCAGGCTGGTTGTCAAACAAACAACATGTGCACTGCATAGCAGCACTTCACTTGGTGCGCCTTTCTAGATGGCTGTGAGCGAGATATGGCCATTGAAAGTGAAGACATGAAAAGCTGGCTGACTAGCTGTTTTTGTTCATACGTATGTGTTCTATCTCCCGTGTTAGGTGTAATAGGGTTAGTAATATTGGGGTCAAGCCCCTGTCGAGTGCTAAGTAAGGAGGTGACATCTGTCGACGAGGTTGTGAACTTACACCTCCTGAGATGTTTAGAACATGTATTACGCAAGTCTAGCCATCCATAGCCTTCCTAAACCCACAATGTCAGCTGACATAGGATCGATCTGGCTGGAAAAGAACTTGTGGTGGTCAAGCCAAACCCAACATGGCTCCATCAGTCAATTAAATCCATAACACCTAGTTTAAGCCAGTTAGCCAGCCACTTAGGGAGGTGTGGACTGCTTAGGGTGCTCGGGAGGGCTGGAGACAATTGGTGATATGTCTCAAGCTCATCGTTCTCAGTGATGGTGTAGGTGCATTCACTCTTTGTGACGATATCCATGATCATACCCAATGAAAGTCTACTGCTCTTCCACATTACTACAATTCTTCTCCCTTCACTCACTTGTTTATTATCTATCTTTTAATCTATCTGCCTTTACTCTCGTCTTGCGCTTTGAGTGGTACATGAAGGGAGAGTGGGACTCGAACTGGGAGCCAACAAGCTACGCATCCAAGGGTGAAATAGAGATTATGCAAAGAGGAAATGAAGACTTGTAAACAATCGTGGAGTCAGCTAAATAAGACTACAAATGACGGAAGACAGTGCAGACGTGCTGCCAAAGCCAAACGTTTCGCACGGAATCCGCAGGACGAACAAGAAGATTTTGAATAAGACTAAGGGCAATCGTTGGATGCTGTCACGACAGTCCTGCCCAAATCTGGTATTTCCAAGTTTACAGAGGAAAAGACACACGGCCCAAAGGAAAGTCCGAAAAACAAAGAATAATAACCTATTGTGTACAGATTTGTGCATTATGCAGTGACACCGTGACACGACTTGTTTGTTCATGTTTCCAGTTGTTAAACGTGATACCAATTCGTGACCAACCGTCAAGTGGTGCTAGTACAGAATCTCCACTACTTGCAAATAGAAATACATGCACAGATCTTTGTACACAGGAATACCAAAAGACGCACAAAGATAATAATTTCCAAACCTGTTTCTGCGGAAGGGCCAACCATATTATCGTCGGATTACTGCATATTTATTTCCTTTTCTAAATAATAGGTCTCCCCAGTAAGCCCTTCCTAACAGTTGATTCATGTACTCCCCCATTTTCATTCCCTGATTAGTATTGCCTAGTAATACAAGCCTAACACCCATATAGCATCTACCTTCGCCTTACTACAAGAAGCCTAGAGTTATTCAATTAAGTGAATATCCGAAACTGCAACTGTGATACTTGTCACTGTCAGTCGAAAGAAAGATGAGATGACAGATTGGATATGTCAACTTTATATGCACGGAACCGAAGTGTAATATACTTTTGGAAGAGACTTTGAGAAGATATCTGGGATCATTTCCCCTAATATTCTATAAAATGTTTCAAAAACGCCACCCCATGCTCAAGTAATGATGATTCACATGGGAAAATTTTAGTTCCGAAATCGGAGAAAACCAAACTAATGGGATAGGTTAGGGTGCAATCTGAGAGACTGGATGAATCTAGTGGCAAATTTCAGTGTCATGTGAGATATAAATCTCCCCTTCATGAAAGCCGGGTAACTTTTTCGATATTTACATTGTAATTAGGATTCTGTTGGTCAAATGGCAGAAATACAAGTTTAGCTGGGGGAAGCACATAACTAGCCAGCAGCGTTTGCTATCCTCATTAAAATTTTCCATATCCACCAAATTCGCTCAAATTTAAAGTCCAATATCAAATGTCGTTTTAACGAGCTAGTGTAAACCAGTTTGGTTTCTGTGTGCTCGCTTCTTGATTGTGAGGTAAAGGTTCCTGGTCTTCGCTGAACTGCGCAATTCGTCCCACCACTCGACTGTCGTAGCTTTGGTTGACTCCGTAAGGAGTGATGTTGGGATAAGTAATACGTTTTTGTATTATTCTCTGTTAAGTATGTGGTGCTACTATGAATGCAGTTAATCCTTTCACCAGTTAGTCCTACAGTGCCGACGACAAAAGAAGAGATTATAATAAGAGTCAAATTAATCTAGCAACAGTAATTTTCCCCGGTGTTTTTGCAGCTTTGATAGACACTCGAAAAAATTAACAATACGTTGTAATCATTTTAATTTTTTCTATACACTTTAAACAGTTATCTCACCAGTTTTAAGGTCGAAATCAGTCGTAAACCGCTTGATGACTTCCACATAATGATAGTTGAATAAGAATTATGTGTATCTAGATATCTCAGTTAGCCAGTGGACAACTTTAATAGTCTCAACAGGACCGAAAGCTAAATACTGAAGGATGAACCACAGGACAGGAGATATCTAATGATACCAAAATCTAGAATAACTAGCGATCAAGGTCAAAGTCAGGCGAAACTCGCTCCAAAACATGTACTCAATATCCAATGTCCAATACCTTTAGTGAGAGCTTATGTACACCATATTTACTTCTTTGAAGCTTGTTTATGCATAGATGCCTATGGCGCAAATTTCTAAAAGCGACTGAACTCAAAAGAAGAGAGAAATGCCATTCTAAGCAACTCTTAAATTATTAAAGGATAAGGTATATATGTCCACGCCAACTTGAGCCTGGCACACCATGTCAAAAGACAGTCTGCGGCCCTAGAACTAAACGAACGACGTCGAAACAGCGAAAGGAACCTTAAGATTAAGGGTTTTCGAGTTGTCAGAGTTCGCAGTTTAATGTTCCCGAAACCTCTGTGGGTAGGCGGGGAAGCGCCAAACTGAATTGACAGTTTGCTACACAAAAGCCCGAAACCTGTTGAACAAACGGAGTGAGCTGCGTAGTTTATTAGACTCCAGAAATCTGGGTGTAATTATCATCACTGACAATGAAGCTAACCTGCCAAACTTCAAAGTGCGTAGGGTAGACCGACTAAACCGCAAAGGAGGTGACGTAGTCATTTACTTCAAGAAACTCTTAACCGTACGTAGCATCGAAAGTGAATCGTGTGAACTTCTACGCTGCAGACTTAAGTGCATAGACCAAGACATTGACCTCATTGCTATGTACCACAGTCCTGACTGCAGTGCAGATGACTTCCCAACAGAAAAGATAGGCTCCTGGACATCGGAATGTCGAAGTCTCGCAGTCAGCCATTTCAGCGCCCCAACGGTTGACTGGACGAGCCTAACAACTCCATCTTCAGCCTACTCCTTTGATCATAATCTACTGGAATCTAGTATATCGCTAGCCCTAGTTCAACATGTCATGAAGTCTACCCGCTATGACTCACAACGCTCCTCCTCAACTCTGGACCTAATGTTCGCCCAAGGTGGTGATGTGGATCCCATACAACATCTTCCTCCGTTAGGAATAAGTGACCATGCTGTGCTCACTTTCAAGTCCACAGCCACGGCAGCAAGAGCCAAAACATCAGCTTGACCAAACGCTTGGAAAGCTGATATAAGTGCAATCGTTTCAGCAGCCAACTCAGTAAACTGGTACATCAACCCAGAGTCCCAAGTAGAAGCCGCATGGAACCATTCTAAACAACTTTATGCCCAAGTAACTGAACCTTTCATCCCTTGGTCTGACCCTAAGGGACGGAAACATTGCCCCCCTTGGATAAACCGAGAGATTCGGAAGTTACTCGGACGTAAACATAAATGTTGGAACCTGTTTACCACACTTGAGACTTCTGAGACCAGGGAATTATGTAACACTGCTAGAAATAAAGCTATTGTGGAAATCCGCCAATCAAGAATGAAGTTCGAGGCACATCTAGCTCAAAATGCAAAGGCACAACCCAGGAAAATTTTCTCGTACATGAACTACAGCAATAAAACATCCAATGGTGTCCCAAACCTGACTATTGACAATGATACAATCGAAGAAGATCAAGAAAAAGCAGAAGCAATGGCAAACTACTTCTCCCAAGTCTTCACTCAGGAGTCATCAATGCCTATAGGATCAGCTCTGGCTGCATCAGAAGAACATGGGATAGATTCCGTTGACATCGACCAAGGCACGGTGCTCAACTGCTTAATGAAACTAGATGCAGGGAAATCAATGGGTCCTGATGATCTTCATCCAAGGCTTCTCAAGGAGCTGTCAGCCCACATAGACGGCCACTTGACCACGATCTTCAAGCTATCTCTCGTAAATGGAGTGTTACCGCGTGATTGGAAAGACGCCATAATAACCCCCATCGACAAAGGAGGATCAAGACAAAACCTTCAAATTACAGGCCTATCACTCTCACCAGCACTTTAACCAAGACACTGGAAAGAATCATCAATAGTAATAATGTGTATTCTGATATAAACATAAATTTACGTGAGAATGCATGCCACTTTTACAGGCACGATCAAGTATGATATAATATCAAATCGTAGATTGTCTACAAGTTAATAATGTTTCAACAGTTAAATATTTGATATATATATACACATTGTCTGAACTAGGCTGTATAGTTATTGAATTGTACAGTTGTCCTCGAGGTTGAGCGGGAAAATCGACTTCGTTTCGTTTTCATCCCGTGGTTGTAGGCATACGATAACCAACCAATATTGAGGTAAGTACAACGTTTACAAGGGATTGAAAGCTGTTTTTAGAAAAGTAAAAGTGCTAAGGTGAATCAATAAACTGTAATGAAATGGGTAGGTGCAGGTATCACTAATAAATGCAATAATAAAGGAAACTGCCTAGGCTGACAACGTTCATTTGCAATGTAAAATGCTACCAATGTAGTTCGTACTATCATGATGTCCACTTTTGGTTTTAACACATTTATCATCATGCCACTTTTTTTTATTTCATACCTTTTTGTGCATTTGGTGCACAACCGTATCCTACAGAGAAAAGGAATAGAATAAGTCTAATCGAATTCATATAGAGCTATAAAATGTTAGGTTTAATGGGATATAATGAGGATCAAGTGAAGACGCTATTAGAAAATAAATGAGATAAGACATTTTGAAGTGGTATTCAAAGATCCGACAATGGATGGCAAGTTAATTTATAAGATGCCCCATAAATCTGTGCAAAGCCCACGTGGTCGCATCTCAACAATAGTCTGAGCAAATGGTATATTATTTTTTTTATTTATTTTTATTTTTGATCACAGCTTGATTCCACACCGTATTTTTAGTACTAGTATGGAATTTTCAGCGTGGATATCGGTAGCCCAAATTTAGCAGGCCGACCATAGATATCAGGTGTGTGTCGGCGTGGGCTCGAACCTCGGACCATGCGTATGGTTGACAAGAGTCCTAACCACTGTGCATGATCCATCAAGGCGTTCATTATTATCTTTTTCAAGATAAAGATCTAAGCCCTCAGAAAAATCAGAAAAATCTTGGGCCGACAAATTGCATATTACTGTTCTTGCAGAATGGGGCGATTCACTTTAGTGACCATCACCATATCTACTTATCAGCTAGCGCCACCCTCCCTCCTTTTTTAATGTTAGGCCCTGAGACTATGATTACTATGGCTACCGCAAATATACTGCTTGGTACCAGACATGTTCGTACCTCATATTCCATCTCCCTGGCCTTCTTAATGAGTGCTTCCAATAGGTCTCCATGTGCATCTTTATGAACATATTATATATGTATGCATGCGTCCTAATGAACAGATTAAGGAAAGCATCATTGCATATCTGGAAAACAAGTGTAACCAGAGCACAGCATGGCTTCCGAAGAAATCTCTCGTGCCTGTCAAATCTCCCCGTTGCAAGAGAAAGCTGGGTCAAGTCAAGAGACAACAGAAAACCCGTTGACGTCTTCTTCATAGACTTTAGGAAAGACTTTGGTAAAGTTCCTCACAAAAGACTACTCATGAAGTTGGAAAGTCTTGGTATCAAAGGCAGATTATCAAACTGGCCCAGGGAATTCCTCATAGATAGGAGGCAGAGGGTTAGGATCAACTCGAAACTATCCCCCTGGACAGCAGTGCGCAGCGGGTTATCACAAGGCACGGTACTTGGACCTCTCCATTTTATTTTGGATATCAATGAGTTATCTCTGCTCACCGATTCCCCTATGGCCCTATACGCAGATTAACAAAAATTTGTAGAGAGCTGAAGGGCAACAGTGGTACGTCCACGTTGCAAGAGAACCTCAACAAATTGTCAGAGTGGTCCATAGAATAGATGCTCCTAATCAATGTAGCAAAATGTGCAACCATGCGTACGGGACAAGCAAGCATCAGTTCCTACAAACTAGAGGGAATAACACTTCCATCAGTTCAGACTCATTTAGACTTTTTTATTACAGCTTGATGCCACACTGTATTTTCGGTACAAGTATGGGATTTTCAGCAGATGATACCGGTAGCCCAATTTTGCACGCCCACCATAGATAACAGGTGTGCGTCGGCAAGGGATCGAACCTCGGACCGTGTGCATGGTCGGCGAGAGTCCTGACCACTTTGCACTACTTAGGTGTCATAGTTAGCCCCGACTTAGAAATTACATCACACTGTCGCGCGGTGGCTGCATGTGGTTTCAGGTCCTTATGGTCAGTTTGCAGAGTCTTTACTAGAATCACCAGAGATACGTTCACCTCCTTATAAACACTTTCGGTGAGATCAAGACTGGAAAACATTATAATTTGAACAATACATTAAGATATATTGTCAGTCACAGCAATCCATTGGCATGACCAAAATGATTCCTTCGTATACGTCTGATAATAATAACACCTTCATTCTGGACAGTATTTACAAAACACAGAATTTACAGATGTTCATGTGGTTCACACTTTCAGAGAAGTGAAATGAGTCTTTCAAAGTGTGCATGGCTAGCTGTTGACGAATACGTTCCGACTTCTCAGCAAGCCAACGTGTCACCCTATGTTGAGGCGAGTCGATCTTCGAAGGTATAGGTCTCAGGGGAACTTGTTTGCGTGCATCTTCGAAAGGCCATACACCTGTGGCAAGTGGGACCCTTGGGGTTTCATATATATACATATATATGTTTACATTCATCATACATTGCCGTCTATATGTTTATTTCTACTTAGTATTTATATGCATCTATGCGACCAGTCTGCCTATCGTTTATTCGGTAACTGTGGAAGTTTTACGCGTTCGTTGGGCATTATAGCAATCTAATAATTGATTCGTTCTGGAAATAAGTAGTCTGTCAGTGTATTCAGTAGAATGAAGCAGTCTGTACAGAGAGAGTTTGAAACTTATAACCAAGGTGCAGGTTCTGACCTTTCGAGGGAAAGAACCGTTCCATATTTTAGAGTACACGACAGGCCTAAGCCAACGACACTTCAGAGTCTGGGTAGGACAGCATGTTGAGGCGTTCATTCTTTGTTGATGGGAGGTGTTCCGAAGCAGATCTAACCACATTTCTTCAGATTGAATTGTAGATTCCATAAAGATGACCAAGCAGTCACTTTACCTCATGTACAAAAATGAGAATATATATTATTAT